TATAATATGATGTATACCAAATTCTAATGTTCAATGCAATTAAGTCTTCTGCTGTGCTATAAACTTTACTAAATATACTGGTGAAAAATAACACAAAAACAAGTCAGCTATTGCAAGGAGATTTTGAATCTTTTTCTGGATGTAGCTGCCTAAGTTAGAACAATCTTTGTTTCACTACAGACAGTAAAAAGAAGAGTTGCTGTGAAAATCATTTTCAGTTCAAGTTTCTATGAAGAATATAGAGAGCACAGCACAATGTTTACCAGATCATCTGTAGAACCTCTTGGCTTTCAGCATACAAGCACTATGTTCTTTCTTTTAAGATCTCTGGCACAATTTTTCTATAGTACTTACAGTATTTTACAAACATCCTACTTGATCCAAAATAGTCATTGAAGATAATGATCTGTTTTGTAATGCTGGAGATGTGAATTAGCTTTGTTCTCCTTTTTTTGTGCAAGTGAAGTATCCTTACTCGTGGCCATGTTGATAAGTGTAGTTTTCTGTCTGGAAATGTATGATTCCTCTTCTTAGAGTTAATCCTATTTCATAGAATATGGTGAGGCAAGATCTGTGAATCAGACAGGTCCCTTACAGAAACAGTCCAGAACTGATGGTCTTTGAAGTTCAGGTTGTGTTTCACTTGGCCTGTTACAGTACTGCATTTTGACCAGAGGTACTGATTACCCACAAAATGGTTCAGCAAACATGAAAGCAGTTCGTCCAAGTTCAGTAGTGTCTAAATGAATTTTGATGCCTTAGCCATGAGTTACATTCACATACAGTGTCATTGGTTTTGATGCATGACTGTATGTAATCTCAGACTGGTGTCAGATACATGGAAACAAAAACAAATGCTTCTCAATAGCGTTATCCCTTTCTCCAGAGTAAAAAGCCTTTATCCACTTTGCACAATTTGCCACTTGTGTATTTTCACTTTAAATTATAAGCAACATTCTTAAGTAAACTTGTGATCTCTTGGTCCTTTACTTATTTACGCTTATTTAGCACTGTATTTAAATTTTGTCATCAGTTCTGGGATGTGTGTCCTGACCTACAGGTTGGTGCTGGGTAGCAGTGACCACAAGCCACTGTTTATACCGATTCAATAAAAATATATAGACTTTCTTCTATGTCTCATTACAGTGTGATCAATTATGATGGAAAGAGAGAAGCAGTGTATTTTTGTACTGCACATTCTGAAATGCAAGAGAATCTAGAATTAATCCAAATAGGTCACAATTTTCATGAAGATGAAATGTAAAATTTATTTCACATATAATGTAAAAGAAATTAAGTTTTTCCAGATTATTTCCTTCCACTCTTCTATAGCATATTCCTTCATCTTTCTTCATTCATTCATTAAACGCTTAAAACAGCAAGTATCTGTCAGCTCTCAGCTGTATCGCACTCTTTGCACTTAGCAGGGCTTACAGCATCAGCCCACACTTTTAACTGAATTATTCCTGCAAATAAGCACAATTCAGACTAAGACCTGCAGTGTGAAGTCCTAAATGTGTTTGCTAAGAGCTAAAATTAATATTAGCCTAGTTTCTGTATTCTCAGCTTCTTCCATGGGTGTTCAGAAAATAACATTAAAGGTCAACTGAAAACCAGTTGCAAATGCATGGTTCTGTAGATTCCTGTAAGAACTTGTCTAATATTACTCATCATTTTAAGCACAGTTGTGGAAGTTAATTAGATTTTTGACCCTTAAAAATTTTAAGTGTCCCTGATGGCTTACTTTCCAACTGATCATTTTGTGTGAGGAACAGAAAAAGAATAACAAATAGTCTATGAATAAACAAACTCCTTGTATTCATTCATATGAGGACAGAGAATATGTTTCTGACATTTAATTAAGTAGCCAGACGTCCACAAGATCTATAATAAACCACTTTGCAAGACATCTAAATGTCAGAGAAAAACACATTTTACATGAAATGTTTTTCTATGACCGAAGCTGTGAAGAAGATACAGCTTTTTTTTTTTTTTTTTTAAAGAAAAAAGAGAGAGAAACAACAATCACATATTTTACCTTGAAAATACTTTTTCAAAGGCTTCTCAGAAGCAAGTTTTCTGTCCGATGAGTGGAATTATTTTAACTTATTACGCAGGAGTTTGAAACATTAGTTTTACAGATTGCTGGGCTGTTCTAATATAATTCAAGTCCAGTGATTTGTGCTATTCAATGCACAGTGGAACACTGAAAACATGAAACAGGTTCATTTACTTAAACCACCTGGCACATTCCACTGGGGTTTGAAGATATTTTTCTTGTATTTGAATACAGCAGTAAAACTGTTTTGATCTCTTTCCTATATACACACCTTCCTTTGTTTTGTTGTTTGGTTTTTTTTTTGGTTGTGTGGTTTGTTTTTTGTTTTTTTGCCCAAAATCTTTTGACCATTGATCTTCCTTATGTTGTGAATGACCTTTCCCTACTTCTGTAGAGGGTTCGTTGCTGTATCTGAATTTAGTTTGCCTGCAATTTACATGAGTGGTCCTCAAGCCAACTATTAATGGAAACAAGAATCCTTTATCATTAAAAAGTGCAAGTCCCATGAAAATAAGAATATCCGAAATAAGATCTTAACCAGGGTTTGCTTTAAGTGTGTGCTCGTGTGTTGAGATCAGAAAATTTAGAGACTTGTTTGAAATGAAGTCGGATACATGTTAACAATTCCATTGCTTTGGTTTTCACCTGCACAGTTACACTTGCTGTCAGCTGCCAGCTCAGCAATCAGCTTGGAATGGCTCCTGCTCACTCTTCTTGCTCAGCACCACAGTAGATCGACGTAATACCAGCTTTGCTAACGTGATGCTGTTTACCTATTGCTCTGGAACCGAGGCAACACATGAGCAGAAAGCTGACTTGCCAAGATGAAAAGTGTTGCCAGATTTGCTTTGATTTGTCTCTCTGCTTTTTAAAGATAAAACGTAGATGCACCTTATACAAAAGGTGCTGCAAAGATGTCAGAGTGGTATTCGTATACAGGTCTCCTGTGTGTGTGGTGATGTAGCATTGCTTTTGAAAAGGTGGGGGAGGAGGAAGTTCTCCTTGCATCTGGAAGATGGATAGATGCTGTATTCCTAACTGAAATGAAAGTTTGTAATGTGGCCAGAATAGCAGCTACAGAAGAGAAAATAAGTGTCCTTACCATTTTCAAAAGGAACTGCAGGAAAAAGGGCATGAAGGAAATCATACGTGCATCAGATGCAAGAAGGCTCAGGCTGTTGTTTTGTTTTTCTGGTATAGTTTTGATATTCTATACAAGCATATATTTTTGCACTGTATCTTCTTGCATGAGGCATTAACTACAGAATGAAACTACTCAGAAGCTCAGAAACTATGTTCTGACTGCCTACTTGGAGGCAGTGGCTCTTACAATTCACCTGTCGATAGATGCATCCCAAGAAGTAGCGCTGTCTCCTTCCAAGTGGCAGATAAAATGTGACAGCACTGTATGGAGCTAGTTCATCTCCACCATGTCATCTCACCTTGACCCGTCATAACATCATGCACACTGACATACTGCAATACCTTTGTCGCTTTGTATCACCAGCCTGGAGGGTTAGATGCTGCTTCTTTCCAAGGACGACTACTGTAAATGTCATTGCATTTGCACACAGAGTCAAAGCAAATACAATTGTTTTCAGACGTCAGTCACTGCTGTGTGACTGCTGTTACCTGTAGTGTAAATGGATAGCTAATTAAATTGAATTCATGGAGCTTTGTAAAAAATCTATTAAACAAAGAATCAGTGGTATAAACAAACAAGCCTGTGTCGCACTTTCAGCACTTTGACCTCTTTAGTGGATTTTCTATTTTTATCAGGAGAGCGTCTGTAGTGTTTTTTCTAATTTGCCAACAATATCTTAAAGTAGATTTAAAAAAAAAAAAAAAAAAAGGAAAGAAAGGAAAGGAAAAAAGAAGAAGGATAAGATTTGGTACTGATTACTGTGGTCTGTTCAGAATGCAGGAGGAAGGTTAATTAGCTTTTCTGACCTGAAGAGTCTAGAAAGGTATCCCTGGTGACTCACTAATTGCTGCTCAATGCATAATAGTGTCTGTGAAGCAAAGTGCATGAAGCTAGACACTAGCTAATAATGTTACTTTCATTTAAAATTCTATACCTGTAAGGACATAATGCTGTTTCTGTACAGCATGCACTCCACTGGTAGATCTAAATATTCCCCAGCTATTCATTTGTTTTATTGGCAATGCTGGTCACTAATTTGAATTTATACTAAGAACTATGTTTCTTAGAGTGAAGGTAAGTGCTGTCCGAGTAAAATTGAAATATATTCTGAAAGTATTTTTTTCATGTATAGTATACAAGTTTTCCATTAATAACAGTGGGTGAGCCTTAGTTTTTTTGACTGGCCTTTTGTTTATGGAACATACTTTCTCCAGTTACAACATGTTCTTTCACGTAAGATTTCTGTTTGATGGGAGGGGTACAGCTTTATTTAAATACAAACTCTTTGGACTAGTTATAAAACCACTCCTAGTCTGCCCTCCTGTAATAGATTCCTACAGGAACATCTAAGTCCTGTTTGCTTTAAATACTTTACTTCAAATTTCTTGGTCAGTGGTGGGAGATTAAGTGAATCATTCGCAATTTTGATCTCACATAATTTACTCAATCAAAAAGCAGTGTGTGAGAATCCTTCTTTGTTTTTTGGCTCAAAGCTTGCTTCCTGAGGTATTCCTTGTGATAAGACTCTGATTGATTTGTTGAGGAGGCGACTAATGGGTGCTAACCGTGTGACAATGGATATCGATTTGGGAACATTTGAAAGCCACTTCCTCCAGAGCTGCTTGCTCTGTAGAAGAGCAGATGAGAGTGCTCAGGAGTGTTTACTGGTGGAAGATCTGGCCTGTGACTAAACAGCTCCAGATAGGTGTGGGAAAATTGGGGAACGATACCATTGTGTTCTGTGAAAAACAGGATGCAGATGGGCATCCCTGCTCCTTCTTATCTGCTGGCAAGGCCCGGAAGATGGGAACAAAAGAGTTTCTGCTGAGATCCCAGAGCCAAAAGCTGCCACTCAAAGGAGAGCTGACTCAACCACTTTGGATTTGAGCTGTCACTCCAAAGACAGTTGACTCGACCACTTTGAAACCATTGAAAAAGGGCCATCATCGCCATGGTCGTCGTGCTTCGTCGTTCTTTGTCTTCAATAGAACAACAATGCTCGACGACCCACCACTACTGAAGATCAAAGACTGAACTATGAACCTCACTGGATCCATGGTGGTGACTATGTCCCTCTTGCTTCCTATAAAGACTCCTTGCCTCTTCTTTTCTATCTTTTCTATCGCCCTCCTTCCCTTCCCCATCACCCTAATTCATAATAGTGTTCGTCCTCCCCTTCCAAGTTTCCCTAATTAAGATTTGTAATAAACTGGTCGAACCAACATTTGAACCGTTGCTTCTTAATCTCACGCTGGGTATAGAGATAATAAAAGAACCTCCTCTCCCTCCTAGAAATTGGAGCGAGACATTTATTTAATGGCGTAATCAAGGCAGGATACCCACCGTGAGAGTGTTGTCCTTCCAGATATAGTCTGAAACTTTCTTTGTGTGCACCTCCTGGAGTTGCAAGGAGCGATAGTTTTGAAAATTCAGACATGAGTCCTTCTCCAGGAAGACCGCTCCATATTCTGAAACTTTACCTTTTATGTGTGTACCTCTCGGGGACGTATTTTGACTATTTGCATTTTGTTTAATACGTGTGTGCCTCCTTGGGAAGACCTCTTGGTTATTTGGTAACTGAAGTGCGGTGTGTCTGTGTGCGCACGCCTCTAGGGGAAGTGAGGAAGTGATATGTTGTGACTTAAACGTGTGTGCCTCTCCAAGAAGTTTTATTTACTCTATTGAAACCTAGAAAGTGTTGCTTTAGCTTCACATTTTTTGTGCTCCCCCCAAAGAAAGTGATTGGAGCATTTGCATTTGTTTAGTTGTGGTGTATCTCCCTGGGAGGAGCGGTATGGAGTAACTGAGCTTTTGAATACATGTACCTCCTCCTCTCTTAGTATAGATCTTTCATTGTATTAAGAAATGAGTAACAGTATTGCCAGTATGAAAAGTGAAGAAGTGTTATTTGACCTTTTAGAAAAGCATGGTGCTTGTCCCTCTTTATCAGGGGTGGACTGGGCACGCCAAAATTGGCATAATTTGCAGAGTGTTTCAGACCGCATGAGTGTCTTACAGAATGAGACTCGTACACGAGCTGGAAAAGGAAAGTCGTTTATTTGTGCCGTACTCGGGGCTGCTTTAAAAGCTGCCGTGGAGTTCCAAAATGAAAAGCATTCGGCAGAACTCCAAACCATAGAAGCACTACAGGAATCGGTTAGAGTTACACAAGAATTGGTAAAAACTCTGCAGAATCAAATAGTTAATCTCGAGGAACAATTAGAAAGAGAGAAACATAATTCGGCCTTGTTGCAGATGGTTTTCAAAGAACTGTTAACATGTAAGGATACTAGTGATACTGTCACCCATGGTTTGCCTCAAGAAAAAACTTTTCCTCAGGAAGAACTACAAGAAATAAAGGAAAGACTAGACAAATTAGAAATCCCAATAGCCCCATTGCGTCCCTTGATAAAAACAGAATATATCTTCGATAACAGTGAGGATCTAGATCCTCAAATGAATGCTAAGGAAATTCCCTTCTCGGCCACCGAGCTTGCAAAATTGAGAAGGGGCTTTAGCCGCTCTCCAAAGGAATCAGAAACAGAATATGTATGGAGGGTGAGTCTCACTGGTGGTGACCAGATTCGGTTAACAGAAAAGGAAGCAGAAGGTTACTGGGGACCAGGAGTATTTTTAACTACTGGTAACAATCGTGCTCCCTGGTCATTAACGCAAAGGGCTGCCTATTGGGCAGGTGGTCTCAACCCTTTAGAACGGGGAGACCCTCTTGCCATTACTGGAACTACTGACCAACTAGTAGAGAGCTAGAACTAGTTCAAAAGGCTGCTTGTCTCCAACTGATGTATGATAGAAAGCTGCAGCCGCATCATGAATCGCCCATGATGATGCCCATTGATCCTGAGAGAATGACTCCTTTAATTAGAGGGCTTCCGGAATCACTGAAACCCATAGGCATACAATTACAAGCAAGGATACAAGCTATGTCACAGGGAGAAAGAACCCGGGCAGTGTTAGAAGAAACTGTAACTCCCAACCATCTGCAGTCAGGCTGCAAAGTATGGACGTGGGTGGAGGTAGACCAAGAGTTAATTAACTATGGAAGAAAATATGGGCCGGTGGTTTCTTTTCCCAGTAAATCTGAGCCCACAGGTGTAAGGCTTGCAGCAGCCAGTCTTGCCCCCAGGCCACCTAGCCCAAAGCTCAGTGGGTCTGGAAGGGTCTCATTGCCAGTAAAACCGGTAGGCAGAATATCTTTCATAAACATAATGGACTTTGGACTCTGGGCTGGAAAAAGGGTATTCCACGAAATTTGATGGATGGATTGACAACAGATAGGTTAGAGAAATTAGTTAACTGGTGGCCAGAACAAAAGCTGGAGAATCTTGAGGAAAGCAAAACCCCAGGTCCTAGGGCCTCTCTCAGGGAACCTGAACGGCTATCCAAGCCATTGGAAAACTGATGTTTCCGCCCCACCCAAGTGAGGGGGGTGGGGGCGCTGAAGGGTGGATGTATTAGAAAGCTCACAACAAAGGGGAAGCCTGATCTCTGCAGTGAATCACTGCACAGTAATAGTCTGAAACTTTCAGATTTCCCTCCCCGGCAGACTTCCCTGGGAGCGATTCTAAGCACCGCTGCATCTCTCCGTATGCTTAGACTCACGTGATGGCTTCGGTTGGGAAGGACCTTCAAGCCCACTCAGTTCCAGCCCTTTGCCATGGCCAGGGTTTCCACGCGGCAGCTCAGGCATCACAGGCTCCATCCAACGTGGCCTTGAATGCCTCTGGGGACGGGGGCCCCCCACTCCTCTGGGCAGCAGCGCCAGGGCCTCAGCACCCTCTGAGTAAAGAGATTTCTCTTTGCGTGGAACCTAAATCTCCCTCTGTTTTGGTGAAAACTGTTCCCCCTGGTCCTGTCTCTGTCTGACAGTGTGAGCAGTTGCTCTCTCTCCTGTTAAGCTCCCTTTAAGTGCTGGAAGACTTGGAATCCAGACGCAAGAGGCATGAGATTTGCTTGTAAGCATAGCTGGGTACAGACTGAAGGCCTGCACAGGCAGGTGAGCCTCACAAGCAGTAATGAGCCGCTTGGTGGGGCAGAGTCAGCGCCATGCTGGCAGGGGATGGCTGCAGGATGGGCTGGGCTGTGTGCCGGCGGGCTGGAATGCCAAGGCCCAGCTGCTTACAGCCGTGATGGGAATTAGTGTCGCTGAATGTAGCGTGAGAGGTTGGTCGAGCTGTAGTGTTTCTTGTTGGAATAAAACCCAGGGAGGTTTGCTTAGTCTAAAGTGTGTGTAGGGTGGCCCTCACGTTATGCATCTTGCAAGTGTTGTAGCAACAGCAGAGATCAGATTTACGCAAGGGAAAGCAACTTTTCTTACTTTCTGGAGGCAGAAATTGAGGGGAGGTGTTTGGAAATGCAGCTACACATGGATGATTCAAAAGAGGTTGCAGTAACATCATGTCCAAGCTTTTTCTTGGTTGTCCAAGGAAACCAGGTGCCAGGCCTCGTGCTCGCTGTGTTGGATTCAATGCCTATCGTGTACATCCAGGTGGTGGCTTACAGTAGCACCTCAGGCTGTTTTCTGGGAGGAACACAAGCCATGTCAGCACTCTCCTGACTGACACAACTGTCTTGCTTGCAAGGGGCTGCTGTCTGTGTGCTGTGGGCACACCTCACCTGCTCTGACTTCAGTATGGCATTCCATGGTGCCATTTAAGCCCTCTGCCCCCCTGGTGCGTGCTGCCATGCAGTCACAGAGCTCGGGCTCTCAGTGTTCTGGAAGCCAACGGCTGGTTTCTCCAGCCAACCCCTTCCTCATTCCTCATCCCTGTTTTGCACTGGGATTGCAGGCTTACGGTTTAGCTTCCCGAAAGAACTAGACGCAACAACTGCTCATTTGAGGGTGTGTGGATGTTTATTGGAATGTTTATGCCCAGATCCCCCCGCCCCCTCTCTGTGGCCTCCAGGAGGGCCATCCCAGCGCCGTCCTCGTAGCGGAGATGTTGTGTTCTTCCACCACTCGGCCGCCGTTTGCTGGGCTCTGTGCAGTGCCTGGGTGGCTGGTAGCAGCAGCCCCAACCTGGGCACTGTGGGCTGACCGAGGCCGATCAGTGAAGTATGGAAGGATGAGCTGGAGCTGCAGGTGGTCTGCTCCAGCAGGGCAGGGAACTGATGGTCTGTCCCCGTGCTGTTCTCGGATGACGTCGGGTCGCCTGCTCACAAGGGGGGCCCGTCGGGGTGCCGTGCGGGCTCTCCGGCGCCCATCTGCCGCTCCCGTGCCACCCGCCTCAGCCACTCGCGGTCCTCCTCCTGCCGCGGCAGTTCTTCATAGCGGCTGCGCTGGCGGACATCCCCGTGCCACGAGGAGCTCCGCACCAGCCGGCGGGGGGACCTGGAGCGGCTGCGCGGTGGGCTGCGCGGTGGGGCGCTGCGGGAGCGCCGGGCAGATCTTGCGTCCCGGCGCTCCCTGGTGCGCTGAAGCTTCCCCTGGGGCGAGCAGGTCGGGGGCCGAGCAGAGGGGCGCCAGTCCAGGCGCTGTTTGGCGAATATTCTCTGCCGGCACAGGGGGCAGCGAGGGCTGTTGGCCGCCCATTCCTCAAGGCACACCCTGCAGAAGAGGTGCCTGCAGGGCAGAGCACGGACGGTGTCGGTGACCCGGTCCAAGCAAATCGGGCAGCGGTCCTCGCGGGCCTCCACCGGCCAGGCCCACCCCTTCCGCCTGCGGTTGGCAGCCGCCTCCCGGCTCATGGCTGCGGCTGCCCTGGCGCTGTGGGGCTCCAAGGATGGATTCGGAGCCCCAACGATGGATTTGCGCCTCCCTCACAGTCCACTCGAAGACTCCTGTAACGCACTGGCAAGTTCTCAGTGTGTCGCGATCCCGCTTACACCTCGAGAGTCGCCAGCAAGACTCAAGGAGTGCTGGGCCCGCTGGCTATTTATAGGCACCCGGCCCATTGTGAGCTCATGGGCTGACTGTGACTCTGCGATGCCGGCCCATTGTGAGCGCATGGGCTGACTGTGACTCTGCGATGCCGTTGCCAAGGGCGCGCATAGGGGGAGCTTTGCTGTGCGCTTGTTGTGGCGTTGCTGTTGTTGGCATTTGCCTGCCCGAGTCCAGCCAAGGACTTTCTGTGGGACATTTTCACAAGCGGTGACAAATAAACGATTGGTTGAAGCAACCAATGGAATGGATTTGGTGTTGCCATTGATCAGTGCCGTAGCTGTGACCGTGCTGATGTTTGATAGCCGTGCTAGCAAAGCAAATGCTATCCTGGGTATTTTTCACCACGAAGGGAAGGGAAGGGGCAGAGCTTAGCAAGAAGGGCTCTCTCTCTGTCTTGGTGGGGAAAGAGCAGCACAGCTTCTCTGTTTCTCTTGTCTCCTTACAATCATAGAATCCTAGAAATACTCAGGTTGGAAGGGACCTCAAGGATCTTTGAAGGAGGGTCATGAACATCATCGTTGTATATTCTTCTTGGAGTGTGTAATCCTCCTTAGGGCTACGAATTTTAACATTAACTTCGGCCTCCTCCACGTCACTTGTTAGTCATTAGCTCTTCCTGTCTTATTTATTGGTTGGTTGGGGCCGTACGTTGCCTTTCCTTTTTCTGGCCAATGCACTTGAGGAAGGAAGCCTTTGTTAGTCTTCATGTCCCTTGCCAAAGCCGCCTCCAAGCGTGCTTTGCAGAGGGTTGGTGGCCAAGGGGCTTTTTTGCAGGGCTGCTTTCCAGCTGGTCACTCCTCATGTGCCCTGGTGCCCCGGGTTGTTCCTCCCCGAGGGCAGGACTTTGCACTTGCCCTTGTGCAGTCCTTGAGATTCCCCTCAAGCCGTTTCTCCAGCACGCCCGGATCCCTGTGGATGGCTGCACAGCCTTCTGCTGCAGCAGCCACTCTTCCCAGCTTGGGATCCTGCGCGGCCCTGTGCGGGTACGCTGCGTTCCATCACTCCAGATCGTCCTGAAGGCTCTTCTGTGGGACTGGACCCACTTTTGACCCCTGCAAAGAGCCTGCAGGGTGGCTGCAGTTCTTCCAAATTCGGGCAGAGCAGCAGATCTGCAGAGGTGCCGAGGGGCACAGGTATCTCAGCTTGGCATTGTTTGCAGATTGCCCCGAGTCATTTTCCAGGTGAAGTTGTTTCGTGGCACAGTTACAACTGTATCCCAAAGGCTACACTTACTGATGGCCCTGCTAGCACGTAAGCATCTCATGCTGCCATCTGAATGTGGTCATTCAGCTTGCAGCCCTGTCTCTTAGCTTCATTTCCCTATCTCAGGTCCCTGCCTCACATCACAGACTCGCATTTCACTCCTGTAGCCTGACCTCTGCAGTGAATCACTGCACAGTAATAGTCTGAAACTTTCAGATTTCCCTCCCCGGCAGACTTCCCTGGGAGCGATTCTAAGCACCGCTGCATCTCTCCGTATGCTTAGACTCACGTGATGGCTTCGGTTGGGAAGGACCTTCAAGCCCACTCAGTTCCAGCCCTTTGCCATGGCCAGGGTTTCCACGCGGCAGCTCAGGCATCACAGGCTCCATCCAACGTGGCCTTGAATGCCTCTGGGGACGGGGGCCCCCCACTCCTCTGGGCAGCAGCGCCAGGGCCTCAGCGCCCTCTGAGTAAAGAGATTTCTCTTTGCGTGGAACCTAAATCTCCCTCTGTTTTGGTGAAAACTGTTCCCCCTGGTCCTGTCTCTGTCTGACAGTGTGAGCAGTTGCTCTCTCTCCTGTTAAGCTCCCTTTAAGTGCTGGAAGACTTGGAATCCAGACGCAAGAGGCATGAGATTTGCTTGTAAGCATAGCTGGGTACAGACTGAAGGCCTGCACAGGCAGGTGAGCCTCACAAGCAGTAATGAGCCGCTTGGTGGGGCAGAGTCAGCGCCATGTTGGCAGGGGATGGCTGCAGGATGGGCTGGGCTGTGTGCCGGCGGGCTGGAATGCCAAGGCCCAGCTGCTTACAGCCGTGATGGGAATTAGTGTCGCTGAATGTAGCGTGAGAGGTTGGTCGAGCTGTAGTGTTTCTTGTTGGAATAAAACCCAGGGAGGTTTGCTTAGTCTAAAGTGTGTGTAGGGTGGCCCTCACGTTATGCATCTTGCAAGTGTTGTAGCAACAGCAGAGATCAGATTTACACAAGGGAAAGCAACTTTTCTTACTTTCTGGAGGCAGAAATTGAGGGGAGGTGTTTGGAAATGCAGCTACACATGGATGATTCAAAAGAGGTTGCAGTAACATCATGTCCAAGCTTTTTCTTGGTTGTCCAAGGAAACCAGGTGCCAGGCCTCGTGCTCGCTGTGTTGGATTCAATGCCTGTCATGTACATCCAGGTGGTGGCTTACAGTAGCACCTCAGGCTGTTTTCTGGGAGGAACACAAGCCATGTCAGCACTCTCCTGACTGACACAACTGTCTTGCTTGCAAGGGGCTGCTGTCTGTGTGCTGTGGGCACACCTCACCTGCTCTGACTTCAGTATGGCATTCCATGGTGCCATTTAAGCCCTCTGCCCCCCTGGTGCGTGCTGCCATGCAG